TGTAAGGGAGGTTTGTGCCCCTATGTTCACAGCTGCACTATCACAAGATCCAAGCTATGGGGACAAACTAAATGCCCAACATCAGATGAGTGGATTAAGACAATGTGGTTCATGTTTGCAATGGAATACTACTCAGTTGTGAAAAAAGAGAAAAATCTTGCCATGCGAAACACTATAGATGGAACTAGAAAGTGTTTAGGCCAAGCCAAGTCAGAAGGAGAAAGACAGGTCTCAGATGCTCCCACTCCTGTGCGGAACACAGAGAAAGAAAAGGAGCAGACGAAACTACACCAAAACAAACTGGAGCAATCTGACTGGAGAACCGAGGCGCCCAGTGGGACGGGGTGGTGAATATGGAGCAAAGAGGATCTGGGGCATAATGCAGTTTGGTGGAGGACTCTGGGGATTTGGTGGTGGGTGTGGGTGGAAACAAGTACCTCATTTGGGATGAACCTGGTCCCCTAAATCAGATACAATGTTGTGAACCATTGTTACTTTCATAAAAAAAACTAGACAATGTTGGAAAAAAGAGTGATCCGCTGTGATAAAATCAAGAGTGAGACTATAGATGACAGGACACAGAAGGCAGGTATGATATCTGGCTTAGATATGGATTGAGGTCGACCCACTAGTCTAGTATCACAGGGACTGAGGGGGTCCCCATAGGCAAGATTCTGAATTTTAAAACTGGGACAAATTCGTCACTCTAGATGGGAGGTGCTCTTATGAGAGCAACAAAACAGCCCAGCTCTGCAACCCCTAATTCCCACCCCTCTTTGTGGGTGCCCCAGTTCATTGGGGTCAGAGGTGTGCTGAGAGATTGAGTTGTAGGCACCGACCAGAAGCTAATGACAGTGACTTCAGAAGGGGAGACCATCAGCAGACCCAGGGGCTCACGTCCCCAGTCTGGACCTCAGTTTCATCCGCTAGGGATGGGAACTAAATGGAACGATGTATGAGCTGTTCCCTCCGCCCCCACCCCCACTGCGGTGCTAACACCAGCAATGCATACAAGCTCGGCATGGCAGCTCAGCAACCCAAGCGGAACGCGTGCACTCACCTTCTGACTATGAGCAGCATGCGCCAGGGTACCCCAAATTCTTCCAAGCAGCATTAGTTTTCCTTTTCCTGGGGACCCTTCCTTTGAAACTGGAAGCGCTGAGGGCTCAGTTGTTTCTTTTTTCCTTTTTTTTTTTAAGAGTAACGCGTTTACAAATCTAACTGAAACACCATTTCCAGTTCCAGTCTTTTAGCTACAGGGGTTTTCTCCGTCTGCTCTTGTCTCCAAGCAAGGAGCCCACTTCTCAACTTTTTGTTTTCTTTAGAGAGACAAGCGTCTCCCCAGCCAGCTATTGCTGGGTTCCTGTGAACCTTTCATCAAGCCCACTGACAGCTGGTTTTGGCTCCTCGTGCGTTACATCAACACATTCCCATTTCAGAGTGTCCCACCTGGCTTCATTAAGCTTCCTGCCAGGCTCTCTACTTTCAGCTTGCTCTGAAACGCAAATAAGATTCTGAGGAATAATGTGGTGAAGATGGTGCTAGAAAAGGGTTGGGGACTACATAACCATCAAACAGCCAGCTTGCTGTGGATCCCAGTAAACCAGAATCTACCGGGGTTCGAGGCTGGTTGTCGCCACAGTTTCCCACTTAGGGAGATTTTTATTTAGCATTGTAAAAGAGCAGAAAGCTGCCATTCCCCCCCCACCCCCCATATATTTTTTTTGGCAAAAGGCTTATTTAGTGGGAGGGGGTCTGAAGGCTGAGTGGAGGTTGCTTTTCGAGACTTATCAGTAAGAGTCTCTCTGTAAAGCCTTCTCCCAAGAAGTTCCAATCTCCTTTTTTCTTCGCAAGGGTGAAGGCAGAATTTAATTCTGCCATGCCATCCCCTGTAACCTCTCTAACTGAATTTCCCTTTCTCCCCACAAAGTCCCTCAGCTATTTAAGATGGCCCCCGCGGCCCCATGGGCATCTCAGTCAGGCCGAGTGCTTCCATGTAGTCTGGAGGTAGACATCTAACTAAAAGTTCTGGCTTTTTCCCCCTCTTAATGACTCTCTTGTGTCTGATGTCTTGTCTATTTGCTTGGTAGGACTCAAGAGGTTCCAGGTGAACTCCCTCATAGACAAGGCATCACTGTGAAGTTCAGTGTGGTGTTAGTGGAGACAACTTTATTCTGCCATCTCGGCTTCTATTTTCTCAACTCCAAAAGTGAAAAAGCAACACATTTGTTTCATTGAAATTCTGAGACTCAGGTAAGTGCTTTGAAACATAAATTAGAAGACTGCAGGTCCTCAAATGTCATTTCATTTTAATGGTTTTTTTCATGAGAAAAAAACTCAGCCTACATTGACTGAAACACATTAATCAAGGACCTTCTCCAGACATCATTTTGCATAAAGTCACAGTTACCATGAACCCATTGATGACGTTGAGTGAGGACTTACAGCACCCAGACATTGCAAAGGCTCCTAAAGTTTGGGTGTAAGTTATCTGCTTCACTTAGAAGTAGGAAAGTAGGAAAGCTAAGGTCAAGTTTGCAGTATTAGACTGCTGGGAACCCGCAAGGCTAGATGCTACACATCATGTAAACACAGCTGTGGGAGGTTCTTCTGCATCAAAATCTCTCCTTGTGGAAATGGATGAACAACACTGATTATACTCTATTGCATTTTCACGTGTGTCTTGTGTAGCTTTCTATGCTCCATAAGGCAAGCGATTGTCCCAAGACCCCACATACAAGAGACTCGAGGGAGTGGCTGGTAGACAACTACTAATGCATCCTGATTGCAGAAAGAGAGAAAGAGGTGGACAACTAACTACATCTTGTACTTGTAAATGTCTTTAAGTGGACACACTGCCCAAGTCCAGACCATGCTTCCCACTGCCTCACTGATCTCTGGTCTGTGTGTTTCTCCTAGTCCCAGGGGAGGAACCTCGCATCTGTGAAGGCACCCTAATCAGAACACCACAAGATTCTCAGAACTGGTCTCAAGATGTACTGTCCTGGTATGCAGGGTATTTTGAGCCAAGAGCAGTGAAATCCTTGAAGTCACCCTCTCCCCTCTCCTGGCCCTTTGATTCCTGTCCACATTCCTTCTTCCTGAATGATGGGACCTGCATAATCATGGCAATCCCCATGCCTATTATTATTTTTAAAACATCCTTACTTTTTCATAATATAGGTTTTCTCCCCTCAAGTGAAGTCACCATAGTTTTCTAACCACTAAAGTGCATGTTATTAAATTGCTTGTGTATCCTTGGTTACCCCACTGCTTCTGTTTTGATGATTTATCCAACCCAAGAACAACCCAGAAAGAGAGAGGGGGGACATCGCACCTGACATCTGCATTTACAAGAATTCTTTGCCACAGCAAGGAGAGCAAATTCAAGAGGGAAAAAAACTCAAGTCAGTAAGGAGAGCCAGTTAAATTTTGTAGTTCAGGTAGAAAGACTAGAACTTAAACCAGACCTCTGCCACCTCCGCCTGGCCCCCTGGCTGAGCTGGAAAGCAAGAGTCTCTGGCACACGCATCACCAGAGTCAGGAGGCTCTACTCTGGGAGTGTCCACCCCCAGGGAAGACTGGGCAGCCAGCCTCCTCACCCCTGAGCCAGCACCGGAATCACCTGGAAGGCTTGTTAACAAAAGTGGTTCCATCCCCAGAGTTTGAGTAGGTGTGAGGCAGGACAAGAATTTGGATGTCTAATGGGTTCTAGGTGACCATTTGAGAACAGTTGCACTAGAGTTCTCAGCTCTGGCCACACATTAGAACCTCTTGGGGCACTTTTTATAAACCCAGGTGTGCAAGTCACTGGTCAGCCAATTATAAAAGAATATTTTATAGGGTAGGGATTTGGAACTGGCAATTTTCAAAATTCCTAGTTCATTGCAATGTTTAGCTAATGCTCAGAGATCCAGGGCTAGAAGTTCCTGGAAGCCATGGCTGGTGCTAAAATGCCATAATTTTTCATTTCACTGCTGCTTAGTCAGAAAAACGATTTTCAGAAATATACTTTGGAAAATGTTGATGTTTTTTGAAAAACAGAAGTGTGTTCACTGAGCTGACCTGTTAGAGAAGGATACAACACTCACCTGTCTATTTCTTCAGGCCATTGGGCCCATTCCATTGTCCCAATGGGGAAACTGAGGCTGTGAAATGGACTCCAAATCCCTTTTCCCCATCAGTTTCATAATCTGAATTCAGACACTTTCCAGGTGATTTCCAGAAGCTGAAGCTAAAGCAGAACCATAAGCCCATCCCAAATAAGACACTCCCACATATGACTGGCTGTTTCCATCAATTCAGCCACCCCTGCCCCCTGTTCAGCGCTAATGCAGTGAGCCAGAGGCAAGCTGCTCTGGGCACATGTGCTCTAGGCGCTCAGGTGAGGGGCATTTTTTAATTAACCTCTGGGTCTGTGTGGACCAGGTACAAGGAATTTACAGTCTGGCCAGGCAGATCAAGAGAATGAATGTGTCCTGCCTTAAAATGAATGTCAAGCGCGTTGAAATGCAAAAGGTGGTATCTTGAAAGACTAGGAGCTTATTTCATTCAAGCTGCTAATTGCCCTAAACCTTCCAGGAAGTACTTCAGGGAACATTCTTGCATATCTGGCACCTTCTGCATTTCTATCCAACCAGGAGCCTCTCCCACTCATGTGCATATAGCTTTCGTTCATCCCTGCAACAACTGTTTGCAGTTATCACTCTCCCAGGGTTTCTTGTGCTATGAGCCATGAAAGTTTTGAATAAACCTGCACTTACTGAGGAGCAAAGTTCCATGAATTATATTTAGAAAAATTTATCTAGAATGTCTCACTGTCACATCCACATACTGGCCCTGGGAGGATGTCCATGTCACTCATTGCATTTGACTCCAATAGACATTAAATTCCCCAGCAAGTATTAACATGTGACGCCATGATCATTTCCAAAGACCCCGCCCCCCCAAATGTGAACAGAAAAGAATAGAAAACCTATGAATTTTAGAAGCTGGTTGAAATTAAGAGTTTTATTCCTCTTCCAGGCCCAGGGTGCCTATGCCAGACCCAGAGTAGGTACTGAGTCCGAGCATAAACAGAAAAACAAACACACACAAAATGATAAGGCAATAGGGACAGAAAAAGGACCAGAACTAGTGTCTCAGGCACAAGGCAATTTAGAGAAACAAGAGTGTCTCCTTCCAGTATGTGAAATGCTAACAGGTAGAACAGAGAGCAGCCATGTTCAGTGTGAGTACAGTGCATACAACAGCACCAGCAGGCAGTGTCTCAAGACACTTTGTTGTAAATATTCCAAGACTTGGAAGCATCCCGGTTCCCAGTATTAAAAAAACAGCCTTGGTATGGTAGTAAGTTCACCATCAAAGGAGGTATTCAAGCATAGGAGGGAAAACTGCTTAATAGTGATGCTGCAGAGGAGATTCAATTCCAGAGCAGCCAAGGTAAGGTCTCTAATGTGCCTTTTGATTGTGAAACTAAAGTCAGATTAGATTGATGACACCAATGAAGTAAGTGGAACTTTTTTAAAACAAAACTTTTGAAGACTCATTTGGACAATTCACAAATCATGTCCCGATTCTCTAGCCTCAGAAAAAGCAGCACACTAGAGTGTGAAAAGACCATCTTCATCTTCTCTCCCTTGCTGCATATCACTGAGGCTATTTTGAGTTTTTCCAAGACTTTCCAGCCTGTAAAGAGAAAAGAGAGACTGATAATGGGAAACACAGAGACCAGAAATAAATGGGTGCTGCTACCTTACACTGCAACTAGCCAAGGCTGTTAGTGTTCAAAAGGCCCCATGCAAGCTCTCATTTTACAGAGGGGAAGTTGAGGCCATGAGGGAATGGAGGACCCTTTGCCAATCTATCATACTAAGGAAGTTTAACGTTAGTAAAATACACAGTTGTGATATAAATGTACTTATTTATGAAAAGGGTCTCCAAGTATGACCTTGAAAAGTCACCTTCCTGAGCCGCTTCATAACTCCTGATAAATATTTGTAGGTACTATCATGCTGATGCAGTGATTAGCTATAGAACAGGACAAATACCTACAGTTCCTTCCAGAAAGTCTTCACATTATTTTAAAGCCAAAAAAATGCTCTGATGATCTAACTGGACAGAGAAACCAAATCTCAAAAGTGGGTCTCTACATGTGTTTTTCCATTTTCCTTACAGGCAATTCTCCTCTCAACAGAGTTTAACAATGCCCTTTTAAAGTGAGTTACCCAGAGTTGAACAAAAACAGGTGGAGTGATATATCACCTCCTTTATCTTGTATGTATTACTTCTCTTAATTCATCCTACCTTTATATTTGTATTTGCCTTTGTACAAGTGCTTGCATTTTGGACAGAATGACAACATATTAACCAACGCAGAACTTACCCTCCCACTTCTTTTTTACTTCTAATGTCACCTCTCTCCAACCCTACCTTTGATCAGAACACACACGTCATTAAATCACTGAGTGGATCTAATCACTTGTAACACCTTGTGCAATCACTACATCAGTCATACCAGATGAATTACCTTGAGTGTTTCCTGAAACAACCGGTTTTCAAGATTTTCCCTGAAAAGATAAGGCCGTATGAGAACCAGAGTAAATGTGCTAAAAGGTGTGAAATGCCACCCCATATGACCTTAGTAACAGTCAAGGTGGTCCATGGTGAAAACTTAGGTGCTGACATTGACAGAGAAACCACTCTGTTCCCCATGTCAAATAGCTTCTCTTTAGACTCCTTGGCAGTGCCCAGTGATTTAAAAGTTGCTCCACTATTGAGGGCAATGATTATAAGCTGCTTGATCTTTGAGTTATTGGCCTATATACTGGGTTGTTTACTTTCTTCAATTATATTTACTGAGGTAAAGTTTACATCACTGTATTTGTTTAATGATCAAATCTCTTCAGTTGTATGTTTTCACCCATGCCCCCCACCAAAGCCCCACTAATTATTCTCTACCCTGTGCTCCATTGCACCACACCCTCCCTCCCCCTTCCCTCCTGGTTTCCTCAGTTTTGCAGTTACATGTCAAGGGGTTACTATTAGCTTGGTTTCATCTGACCGTTTATAGTATTCCAGTGTGTATGTGTGTGTGTGTCTGAGTGTGTGTATGTGAGAGACATTTCTCTGATCTACTCCTCTGTTCTTGGACACTTAGGTTGTTTCTACAACTTGGCTATGTGAAGGAATATATGGGCTCCTACATGCATTACAGCCCTATTCACAATAGCCGATTATAGGGCTTTTAAACATTTCCCTATAAAGTCTACCCAGAACTTTCTAAAAATGTAACTTACCTTTACCTGGGGCCTGGTAGCAGGTTTCCAAATTTCTACCTTCCAAAGTTCCCTATGTTCCTAGGGTTCACCAGGATAGGCATTGAAGTATACACGCCTCACTACTGCTGCTCAACCAGATCCCAAGGGTTATTTACTCCTCACACATTGAATCAGCTCCTGTTCATGACTACAGAACAATTCTTTCCTCCCCACTCTACAATTCAACCGGGTACCCATGTTATACTTTGCATAAGAACTAGAAAGCCTGTGTCTTTGAATTATTTTGGCAGCATCTGGAACATTTTTTGGAAGGAAGCAGGGGAGCAAGGCCAGCTGGAGAACCTAATGAACTGTTACAGACCTTGCCCCTGAAAAAGTCAGGCATGCGCACACAAGCACTCCTGCAGCAGCATCGAGCTCACCTTCCCACACATTTAGGACCCTAGCTTAAGAAAGGCTGCTGTACAGGGACAAACAAGATGTTTGACTTTTGTGGTTTTCTTCATGGGGCAACTGTAGCCAGCAGAAGAGGCTGCACCAGGATTTTCTCTCTACCACAAATGATAGTGACAGAACTTCACATTCACAGCAAGAAGCAAGAAGGAGGATAAGGATGGACGGGCACAGAGCAAGTATCCAAGAAACAAAGATGCTCATTTGTCTTGTTTTTCCTTTTCAAAATATATATATTAGGCCCTCCCTGCTGGCACAGTAGGTTAAATCACAGCACTGTGAAGCTATCCACAGCCATTGCAGCATGAGTTCAATTTCCACCAGGGCAGTGACCCACATGGCACAGCAAACCTCTCCTGACCCACCCACTGCTCCCCTTAGCAGTGTATCTCAGTACATCTGTCTGTTCTGCTCCCCGCTCTATCTCTGGTGAATCCTCACTCCTGCACCTCTGCCTGTACCCCAGTTCTTGTGTACATAAATAAATAAATCTTCAAAAATATATATTTACACTAGCAGGGTTATGATTCTCTAAATTTAGCATTGTCCAGAGAATGAGCTTGCCTGCTACCTCTTGACTGGAATATGGAAAATGCCAGACAAAACTAGGGCTCCTGGAGTGAGTTGGGGGGTCGGGGTGGCAAGGGACAGGAAACAGAACCCATTGACACCCTCGTCTCCTGGGCTCTTCCCAGGTCTGAAGGGCTCATCCCACCTGGTCCCCCTCTCCTTACCTCGAAGGAAAAACCCCACAAGTAATGCCAGCAGCAAAAATCCCAAGGAGGTGACGATGATCATCAGCAGGTCTGAGTTGTCAGCCATTCTTATCTGGGGAGACACAGAAAGCAGTTGAGGCCTCGAGGTTCTATACCTCATCCTCACTTGAGTTTCTAAACTCAGGCAGATGTTCTAGAAACCAGCAGCCTCACAACATCTCATTTCCTTTTTCCAATGTGTCTCAAAGGCAATACAAAGCCAGCTTTACAGGTCAGAATTAATCAGAAGTAACAAAATAAAAATCAGAAAACCTCACCCCTTTACCCAGGTGTCTCAAATGTCTGAGGCATCAGGCACATGGCTGTGGGCAGTGGAGTCTGGAGATAAAAGCTCCCTGCCCTGAGCTGTGTTCTTTCTCACCCAGGCTCTTTCCCAGCCACGCTTACAACTCTGGGGTGCTGCCAGCCAGGCCACCCTGCAGGCCTTACTAGACTTCCAGAGGAAACATGGCTAACAAGAAAATGGAACTCGGTCTCAAATTTTCTACTACAGCAGCTCTCAAAAAACAGTCAGGGGACCCATGAGATCAAATTTATTTATATGAGATATTATTTGTCATTTTCACTGCCATTCTGTCCCAGGGTACACCAGGGGGTTCCCAGTGCTAGCTGGCCGGCCTGTGATGATGCTGTTGCCTGGGGACAGGATATGCAAAGCAGATCTAGCTAGGAAGCCAGAGTTCCAGGAGATTGCAGAAACGTAACACCCACCACTTTTCTCACCCTGTTTTTGCTTGGAGAAGGTATTTCTCATGTCTTGTAGGCTAGGTTAACATCCAAAGTGTGTGTTAGTTTGTTTTTCAATGAATAAATATTGGTTTAAACTTCTATTTTCATTTTTACAATTTTAGAGGGTTCCTGGCACCTAAAAGATTGAGAAGCGCTGCTCAGTGGGCAACTTTGTTCCAGGATCAGGCCACCTCCCTGCCCCCAGACCAGGCTGGCATCCTCTCAGCTCCTTCTCCAGGAGCAGCAGCACAGAGCAGCACTCTCTAAGGCTAAGGACTAGGACCAGGAATGAGGAGCTAAGGGAGCTTCCCCTTTCTGTCACAGGCATCCATAATACTGTTTGGAGTTTTTACATAAAGCGACTTGAATCCCCTGTGTAATGATGCAGGTGCCTGGTGCCTTATCTCAGGGCAGAGAAGGGGAGCTGGGGAGGGACAGGTGTCAACCCTGCAGGATGTCACTCTGCCAAGGCCACACAAAGAGGTGCACGATGATTCCTCACATTTTTGTAGTTTTTCTCTTTTTGCTTTTCAAAGCATGTGCACATACAGAGTGATGGCATCATTATTTCTGGAAGGATGCAAGCTACAAACTCCTTAGCTGGTTTATCAGCCTTGTGATGCCTTCTGCCACTTAAGTATATCTGCTCTCCTTGTCCATTTCTGCAAACCTCGACCGTGGAGTTTTACAATCAAAGCCATATACTTCAAATACTTCATCAAAAAAATGTTACCTGTTTTGATTCATGTTCATGCTGTATAAGAGTGGCTGTCTCAGATGCTGGGAAAGGAAAAGAGAAGAAAATGTTTGTATTTTCTGTGGGAAAAGAAAATGCCACTTCCTGAGATCATTATTTCTAAGCTTGTGTGGAATATTCATGGATGTTTTATCTTTCAAGCTCATCTTTCCTCTTTTGTGTAATTTATTTGAGCACTTTTATTCTGATATGGTTTTATTAAAAGCTCATCTGCCTTTTCACTGGAACATCCTTCTTTTATAGATGGATAGAGAAGGCATTAGACACAATCAATTTGGTCTCAGTTTCCTCAGCCGGAGCAATGCAGCCAACAAGAAAATGCATTGGTCTGTCAGTTAACAAATATTTATTGAGCATTTATTATAGAGCAGGCACTATGCTAGGGATGGCAAAGACCTGGTAGAATACACAGCAATGTGCAGAAAGCCAAATCTAAACAAATAATGTAAGTAGCTAAAAGAATAATTACAATTGTGCAAAAAGCTGGGAAGCAATGTTTTAGGAGGCCATAGGGGTATATCCTGGAATAACTTGTACAAGGACAACATCCTTGGTGATGCAAAAATGGAGATGAGTCCTGTTGGGTCCTAAAGGGAATCACACTGAGAATTTACCCAGTGCAAGGCACTGTTCTAGGCACAAAGGCTGAGAGGAGCAAGGCATATCTCAATGCTCTGGGAACTTACATCAGGGAAGGGAGAGGTCAGTCTAACAGGCCCAGGTAATAATGGCATATGGGAGGCAGGCTGAGGGAATGACCTCGAGTCCAACCTGATTCTTCGGAGACAACTATTAGAATTAAGCTCCATGAGGACAGGGGCTGTCACTGCCTTCTGACTGAAGCTGGCAAGTACTTGGTGCTCAATAGAGGTTGGTTGAATGAGTAACACCTCCACTGAGTTAAGGTTGCTTAAGAATTAACAAAGATTGATGACAAAGGCATTGTAGGTAGAACAGCATCCACAGAGCTGGGGAAAGAGTGGAACATTCCATGTCAACCAGCAAGACCTGCGTGGGTGGGAAATGATGGGTGGGTGGGAGTGAGGGGAGAGGCAGCTGGAGACTGGGACCTGTCACAGAAATTTCTTGTTTCCTGCTTTGAATTCTGGAAGCATTGAGAAAACTTTCATCAATGGTCCAGCTGGGAGGATAAGTGAACAGTCAAGAGGAGATTAGCACCTGACGCCAGGTGTGAAATTCAGAGCTGGTAGAAAGGAAAGGAGAGACACAGATGCCAGAAATGCTGAGGAAGAAAATGAACAAGATGTGGATTTCACATAGAGGTGAGAAAGAGACAGGGTTAAGTTCCTACAGGGCCACTGGGCTGCTGCCAGAACTGTCCACTGAGACTGAGGACAGCAGAAGCATAGAAGGGCATGGCAAGGGAGAAAGCTGGGAAGCTCACATTGGGTCACTGCATCTAGGGGAAGCTTGAGTCTGAATCCAGCAAGGGCTGGAGTGGAAGTCATTAATCTGGCAGTGGTCACTATCTACAGGGGAAAACCCAGCACTGAAGGGGGTGGGGGTGAGCAATGAGATAGTGAAGAGTGAAGCTGGAGAAAAGGGCAGAGAGAAGGGAAAGTGAGAGCCGTGTGATGGCAGCCCGGGTTTGGGAGGAGAGATGTCCGAGGAGACATAAAATCCTATATGCAGTAAAACCACCCAGTGGAAACAGAGCAGAGCCACACAGAGACAAGTCTGCACGTCTTGGCTAATAATTACGGAAATTGATCATTGTTTTCCCCAAGCTTCCTCACACTCAAGGCAAAAGGAGAAATGATATAGGTTCTGTAAAGCTCATAATTTGGTACAAAAAAGCTTTATTTTTTGTCAGGGAAAGTGGTTTGTTGAATGCCTAGGAGCATAAAAATTCAAGGGGGAAATTCAGCATGTTTTCATATCCTACAACTAAGTTATTGTTGTTTTTCTTTCTGTTATTATCCCCTAGAGCTGGAAATTGCAGGTACGAATTCAAAACTCTCTGTTTGGTCAAAATCTTGTCACATTACAATCATTTGTGATGGATGTGTCTGAAATTGAAACCATCAAAAGGAAAACCCAGGCTGGGTCGGTTTTGTTGTATTAATCTATATTTTAAGCTGGAATTTCCTAATGGGAGAGATTTTTGCAAGCACAAACACTGTTGAGTGATATCAAACAGCACTTTTTCCTGTTCTTTGGAAAATGCCCTGTCTCAGTGGACACATTCCAAGGGCTATCGCTGAGGGGAGCAACAGACAAGTCAGGAGAGGTCTGCTGCGGCATGTGGATCACCTCCGGGGCCAGGGATCAAACTAGGAGGTCGAACTAGCACTGAAGCAGCTGCAGCCAGCTTGCAGTGCTGCGTCCTAACCTATTGCACCACCAGGGAGGGCCCTCGTTGTAATTTTTTAACTGTATAGTGTATAGGGAATGAATATCCCAATCTTTAAAAATACATATACAGACAAGTGTCTACTTTGGACTCCCTGAAAACTCAAACAAACAAAAATGCTAAAAGATTCATGCATTTCATTTTGAGTGGAAATATCAAAGGAAATTAATATTTTCATTAGTACTTTGGTATCATTTCTAAATTGTTCTCAAATGTGAAAACTTTAATTGTAACCTATTTTATGTATTGTGTGCCAATCACTGGAAATTCTCCAAGATGCCTGATCAAGAACAAACATCTGGGATGTGGTGTCATTTCTCTGAAGCCAGGACATGTAACCTTCTAAGTGAAACTCTGATGACAAGTGTTAGGAACCCATCAACCCACAGGAGGAGGGGCAGTCAGCATTGAATCAACAAGTACTGATATGCAAAGATGTTCAGGAAATAAGTGTGTGTGTGCACACGTATACTTATATATGCATGTTGTTTTTATGGGTTGAAAAAGGTTTGCTTTTAAATAATGAGTGCACATTAAAACAGGTGGAATCCAGAAAGTTTGTAGACTGGTTAATCATATCTTCCTAATGTCAACTCCTGGTTTGAAAGTATAGTTATGTAAAAGTTTACCAGTATGACAAGCTAGAGGAATAGATAGCACTACTTCTGCAATTTGTGTGAATCTAAAATGATTTAAAAATAAAAGCTTTTTTAATGGTTTACAACCAGTAATTGCAAATGGTTTGACCGAATCAATGCACTG